GGAATTTCATGTGAAATCTGAGTTCTGTAGATAATTTCTTGGCATGGAATCAAATATTCTTTTCTCTTCTCAGTCCCCTTCAGAACAGCTCCCTAGATCTGCATCAACCCACTTGCCTTGCTTACAAAATGTAAATGCTTATTTCCTTCCCTCTCCTGCTTCTCAAAAAATGAAACGATATTACCTATAAAAGCAGCTTATTGTACCATGAAACTGCAATCCATTTCAATGTCAATTGCACAAATCTCAAAACTAAAGCTCTCTTAAAGCTCTTCAGGTTTGAAATTGAGATCAAGCCAGGAAATACTTCTGTTGCTGATTTAAAATCAATGTTTTGTATTTCATTTGAAGACTTTTAGCTTTATCTTACACTAAACTCTCTCCCATCTCCTACACTGGCACAGACAGGATAAACTGATTGACCATATCGAATAGATAACTTAAAAGACAAGCCTTCACCCCTCTCACAGAACAACAGCAATTTCAACCCTGAAAGAAACAATGTGGTAGCAGCTTCCCATGCCCTCCCATAGCGCCTCTGTGCCTGCATCTGCCTGGCCAATTCCATCTCTGCATTGGAAACTCCTTAGTGGAAGGGCCTGAACTTTGCATGTTTCCACCTTTCACACTGTGAGTCTCCTTGCAAATTCTTCCTCTGATCGAACTGTTTTTTCCTGGATTGTCTTTCAAAGTGTCTCTCTGCCCTGCCATACTTTAAGATGGCTACAAAGGCAAGAGCTTAAAAAAAAAAAAAAAAAAAGGCTACTCAAGCCTACCATTATTAATGTTCACTGATTTCATCACTGAGCTCTGGGTGACCCACTCTGGCCATCTGTCTCTTCTCACTCTTTTTTTTTGAAAGCCTGCTAGGTACAAATAGTATGAGAAAAGGGCTGGGTTTCTGCACACCTGCCAAACGCAGGTCCTGTACTTTCAGCTGCCAGCATTTCATGTAAAATGTACTACACTAAGCTGGGAACAAATAGATTTATTTAACAAACAAGTTCAACACAGGGATAAACCTGTCAGCCTTAAATCATCTGCAATCTCTCTCTAACAAGAACATGAGGCTCTAAGACTATGCAGGATAACTTTCTGCTCAGCTGGTGCTCTAATGGGCTGCAATCTTAGCTCTCACAGCAGAGAATCCCTATGAGGCTGAAAAATGGGTGTGTGTGGGCTCTAACACACAGACATGTTGAAGGTCACTGACTCCAGCAAACTTCCATTTTATTTCTTCCATTTATTTTCTTCTGAAAGTTATTTTCCATGCTCCTATTTAATTTATGACTGGTCTGACTAGGTCAAGTTGAAAAAGGTTCTATTAATGCCTGAGATGGAAGGATTTATTTTCAGAGAAAAAAATTAGAAGCAAATGATTTCTTTGCTAAGGGGTATACGCACACTGAACTGCGACTGTCCTTCTCTGCCTGGGCTCAATTCCACAGGTCACATATCTACTGCAGTATCAACAAGATGCGTCCTGTGAAAAGGAAGGCTTTAATACTCTCTTCCTCCATGGCCTCCTACATTTGGTACTTCCCTGTCAGCATCCCCTTTCATGCATGCCTAGATTAGGACTGACCACAGCCTCCTAACACATTTTTAAATGCCATCAAACAAGCATTGGAGGTGTTGAGAGCTGCCTACCGCATCACAAAACTGCACTGTAAAGCTTCTCTTTTACTTCCTCCTAACTGCTTGCTGTTCTTTTACAGAATGCCCTGCATCTGTCGCTT